CTTTTAAAAAAAAAAAAAAAAAAAAAAAAAAAAACCTTTATTGAGATATAATTCACATACCACACAATTCACCTATTTAAAGTGTACTACTCAATGACTTTTAGTATATGCACAGAGTTGCGCATCCATCACCTCAACCAATTTTACAACATGTCCATTATGCCAAAAAGAAACCCCATAACCCCTTAGCCATCACCCCCAGTCACTCCCCATTCCTCCCACAGCCCTAGGCAACCGCTAATCTCCTTCCTGTCTCTATACATTTTTCTATTATGATATTTCGTATAAAAGGAATTATACACTATGTGGTCCTTTATGACTGGCTACTTTCACTTAGCCTAATGTTTCCAAGGTTCAGAAAAGAGAGTTTGGGTTACTGAGAAGGGAGAGGACCCAATCACCTGGAACAGTGGAAAGGCTCCACGCAGGGAGTCCAGTGACTGGTCCTGGCCCTGCCACGTGGCTTCTGATCAGTCATTCAATGAGGTCCATCACAGCCCTAACTTTCTATACCTTCTGCAGCTAAATTGGGTTAAACATTAGGAAGAACTTCCTCTTCTTGAAGAATTTCCTTTTCCAAGGTCTCGGAAGATGGAAAAAAAAATGTTCCTTTGCCTGAGGTCATCTTGGTCAGGATACTTAGGATTCAGAAGCCTGGGGCCAGGCCAAGGATGCCAAGATTCCAAATACTGGTGGGGTAACATTCTCTCTGATCTCCTCACCAGGGAAAAAGAAGGAGGATGTCTGTGCTGACAGAGGGGCTGCAGAGACAGAGAACCCCCTTGTATAAGATCTGCCATATAAGCTGATGCCTAGATCATCAAAAACCCCACTTCCCCAGGCACATGAAGCTCTGGGACATGGCTGGTGCCTGGAAACCATCATGGTCCTCACGCCTCCCATGAGCTTCCCATCCTGCCCCCAGGAGCAGCCTGGGCAGCCATTACGCTGGGAGGACAGAAAGCACCAGCACAACCTTCCACGCCTCCCCCTTCTCTCTTTCCACTTCACATGTTCCGGCTGTTCTCTGGGCAAGATGGGCCTAACAGGACATTCCCTCAAGGACACTGGAAGTTCTCCAGGATTTACAGGGACATTGATTGTTCAAAGCATTCACTCACCCACTACTGTTCATAAAATGTTAACCAACCGGCACCAAACGAGTGCCTCCAGCCTGGGTCCAGAGCTCTAAAGACATTACACGTTTGAACTAACAGAGAAACTCTGAATCACCTACTGTGAGCTCCACCTCCACTCCCAGCCCATGTGGTTTGAGATCCAGATGCTTCCTGATGACCAGCGTGTTATCTAGGTGGGAGGTGAAAGGGAAGGTGGGAGGCAGGGGACAGGGGTTTCTCTTTCTGGCTTGAAGGACTTCCAGGTCATCTGAGTTCACGGCCCTTGAAAAGTAATTTGCAGCTATAGATGACTGAGGAGGGTTGACATCCCATCGTTGAGATGGGTGCCATTTTGCAGGTTACACCTTATTAATAAACATTCTCACCATCTCCATTGACCCCCACACCTCCTGCAGGATCTGGGTGTGGGGGTTGATATTCTGTCCTCACTGTCCGGCACAGTGACCAGGAAAAAAGACACTGAATTTGGCACGGCCAATAGGAAGTTCTTGTACAACTTTAAGAAAAGCAGCTCAGCTCAGGATGAGTCTTTCTGCCTGAGACTGGAGAGAGTGAAGAGCAGGAAAAGCTACGCAGAAGGAAAAATATGAAGAGAAAAGGCGCTGAGGCATCCTGGAATCTGCCACACTCATTGTCAAATGCAAGTGCAGAAGACCCACCCACGATCAAGGGGAGGGGACAAAGACCCCATCACTCAATGGGCAGATTGTCAAGGTCACTTTGACATGTGAGATGAAAGTTATTATTGTTGCCATCTTTGGAAAATACATTCTGCCACTCAATGATTCTGTATAGAAAAATTCTGGGTTATTTTATTGCTGCTAGAAAAAACTTGATGGCCTAAACTTACCCTCTGGAATTAATAGTTGGTAAGGTTCATGGTTACCCCCCACCCCATCAAGGTGTAAATGGATTTTTGTCTGTATCCTTCCTCAAGTCCTGATAATAGAAAGAAAGGCGGGATTAAAGAAGCAGGGGTAGGTTTTGAAGTATTTCCCAGGGTAGCTTCAATCTTTCCACCCAGAATGTCAATCCTGTCCAAGAACCTTCTCTCTTCTCCCTAATTCCTGGGTAGTCACTTTACCTTGGACAGTGATTAGCACAACTGGCTTCAAGATTCACATCTCCTGTTCCTGGATTTTCCCTGTCTGGCTCCACTCAGAGGTATCCTGCATGTCACTTGGCTTTACCTAATCCTTATCCCTTTCCTGCACCCACTGCTGTCCCATTATCTTCCCCCAAATCTACCTGAAGGGTGCACATGGCCTCTCAACCTGGCAGCTTGTGCTGCCTCACCTGCCACTTGGAGACATTCCCCATGCCTGGTCACTGACTCATGCAAAACGAGCTTCAATCCCTAAAAACGATGTGAAAAAAAATGCTCACAATCCAGCAATGCACCATGGTGGTTCTGTAGGGACAAACACACACCACTCCCCACCTTTCTTCCCTTCATCCCCAGGGCCCAACCTCAGATCAGAGCAGTTCTGGTGGGATGTGGCCCACAGTTCTCCCTTCACAACGTGACTCTTGGAGACCTCATTTAGACAGTGGTTTGTAGTGTGGTGCACCAGGGCCTTTTTGAACAGATCCATGCTGCTCAAATAAACTACTGTTCCCATCCCCAGTGACTCATTTGCCAACTAGTGGACTAATTAATCCCCCACTGGGGTTAACACAAAATGCTTCCATGAGACCAATTTTGGTGCTAATAAGCGTTGAGACTGATGTTTTAAAAGTCACACCCCGGGCCGGCCCGGTGGCGCACTGGATAGTGCGCCGCTTGGAAAGCGCGGCGGCGCTCCTGCCCGAGGGTTCGGATCCCACATGGACCGGTTCCCGCTCACTGGCTGAGCGAGGCGCGGGGGCAACGCCGAGGGTTGCAATCCCGTTGCCGGTCCCCGGTCTGGCACGGGGGC